AAAACATAATTAGTTGCATTGTTTCAAAAAATTGTCTTTTTACCTAATTTTCAAGCACTTGTTTAGCACGAGTGAAGATCTTAGGATTCGTCGAGTCTTTTCAATGAATGGTGGAAGGCGCTTTGGCCAACATTGCGTAGTCGCTGGTATTGATGAACGAAGCTCAATCTTACCTAAGTGTATAAGCGCACCTCTGAAACGCAAAACTCAATTTGCGACGCGCGAAAACTTTTGGTCGGAAGTTGACGCTTTGTTTGCATGGCGACGTACTTATGCAAAAGTTGCCAGAATTTTTGCAAAGACGTAATTGCAACATTGAAATCAAAACCCTTTGAATTTAGTGGTGCGCAGTAAATCTACCATGACTCCAAATTTTGCTCCTATTAACTCCTTATAAAATAGAATTTAACGGAACGTCAAAAATACTACAACAAAGTTTGGAGCGATTGCTGCACGAAGTGTCAGAGTAGGTGGTTTATAGTTATAGAGTGCACAACCCATTTCTAAAAATAGGGCGGCCAAGGCGGAACCAAAGTCCTCAGGATTGCGATGGTTTGTCCAAGGTGGAACCAAAGCAGGGTTGCGATGGTTTTCAAGCTATGCGTACGAGTCTATCGTTGCACAAACGACTTATTTAGAACATGACAATGCTTTCTGGGCATCAAAACTCGGCTTCTTTAGTTCAAGTACTCGCCTACCCGAAGGTGAAGGGGAAAGCTTGTTTATCAATAATAATGACTACGCAGTGTTGACCAAAGCGCTTTTCACCATTTTCATTGCAAAGGCTCAGCGAATCCTAGGACATTCAATTGAGTCAAACAAGTGCTTGAAATTTTGGAGTAGGAGCAAATTTTTGAAAAAATGTGATTTTTGCGTTTGAAGCAACACTGCGGTAATATTTTTGAATTTATTATTTTATTAATTAATTATTCTATTGATTTATTATTTTTTTTATTTTTGATGTGAAGGATGTCTCACATTTTGACGCCGTCTACATACAGGAAATACTAGGTTCGAAGGACGTAGTATTGGTCGAAATTGAGAGGTGGCTCTATAGCTGTGACCAGCTATCGCACAGGTTTCAAAATTTGTAATTTTTCTCCGGCCAAAATCAATGAAATTGAGAGCCATTCCTATCAGTGATATGACGTTGGCTTACACAGAATAGTGGTTTTTCAAACAAATTCATCCAAGAGAGGGCAAAATTCAGTGGTTTTTATGGCCACCACTGCATCAAAGCGGCTAGGTACTTTTGCGAAAAAATGTTTTTTTCTGTCTAGTAAAATTACTTATATGCAAATCCGTAGAAACAGCAACAAGCTACGAACTTCCACGAATAGTGCGACAAAACTTTTGCACTAATCTGGTATTTTTGACACCTTCAAAGGATGTATTGATAATGCGTTATGCCTGCATAGAGACTTGTTGGTATGCAGCAGTGACGAACCCAGGAGGTGCTGGGAGGCGCCCTCGCGAGAATTTGAAAAGGTGTTATATTAATGCAAAAATAATGTTCATTTCGCAAATTTTTACTTCCAGGAGCTGTAACCTGGTCCAGTCTTTGCTAAATGTAGTCAAAACAGTCATATGCATTACTTTTGTAATGAGCGCCCTGGACATAGTGATATCATAAACGGGAAGAAAACCATGCGTCAAAAACCGAAAGTTTTTCTTTTGAAAATCTTGTGTGTGAGAGATTGCAACTTCCTTCAAATTTCAAACCTATGCATAGCAATTTGCTCATTATGTAGCCGCAACCCATTATTATGTTGTGTAACGAAAAGACTTCAACGAAACTTTGTGAAAATAAAAAATAGAAATCGAAAATTGTTTACTTTTCTGGACCTATTTTCGATAGGTCTGAAGGTCCCAAATTATAATTTGGAGTTCTTATGCGCTAAATACTTGAGTTTTCTGCAAAAATTGTAGACAAAGTGTTCTAAACTCTTGCTTACAAAAATGAGCGATTTGGCGGTTGCCTTAATCTTGAGAAATTTTTAAGCCATAAAATGCCAGCAGCGAGTATTTATTCTAAGGCATCGATTTCTTAATTTAAATATTATCAAGAAGTGTACTCAAGCATGCATATGTAAACAATAAGCATTTTATACAGTAGTCATCTTTTCAAAAGAATTCGTTCATTTACGCCTAAAATGCGTCCAAAAAATTTGAAGGAATGCTGTTTCACTTTCGAGCGTGTGTGGACAAAATATGAGATTTTCGAAGATGAGAACAGGAGCCTAACTGCACCACCTCTAGAAGTTACATGGAGAAAACTTTTCAATGCTTTGCAGAATTTGTATTCAAAAATAGAAAAAGTTATCCGAAAAATCGGTCTAAAGAAACGGACATTATTTTTGCACCGACCTAATACTTACATATGCATGAAAACACGCAAGTAACTTATATTTGTGAAAAACTGAAATAATTTTTGGAATTTTTTGAAGTTCAAATTAGCTTTGTAAAAAAATTTCTTTTCGGAGCGTGACTGCTTCAGGAGTACCCGGCAAAAATTCTGAGAAGCAAGAATTTTCGTAGTGCATAGCTGACGCCACGAACCTCGTGCGACCACCACTGGCATGCAGGAGTATCATTTAAGAACTTAAATTAATTCAGCGAATAGATAGCTTTTTTGTACTTTGCTCCGGCACTTCAATACACTGGAACCGGTGGTTGTATCAAATGCGTAGTAACCAGGACAGAAAACACCTTCGAAAACTGAAAGTGAAATAATGTAAATAAGCGATCAATTTTACCTGTTTAACAATGAAATTCCTAGTTTGGATAGTTTGGATAAGACAGGATGTCTTTACAAAATGTGCCTTGAATTGCTATTAACTTTCTTACAGCGAAGTCTTTTCTGAAAACTTTAGGTACTACCCTGTAGAGCTGGCTTTAACTTGGGTTTACAACGTGGTGCAAATTAAGAATCCCTCTTTATTGCTGTAGGATCACGGTACGAACTTTGAGGAGGTTTGAGTAAACAAAAGCCAAAAAAAGGTTCCTTAAATAGAACCAAAGAAGCTGAAGCTTCCTACACCAGGTTAACACATTGACGACAATGTGACCCACAAGGTGGGTCATGCAATGACTGTGGTTTTAGAAGTTCTGTTATGCTTTATTTTTAGGAATTACTTCCGCGTTTCTTAGCTGCTTCTCAGAATCACTGTAGGGATACTGCAGATGACGGCCTGCTTGATTCCAGCTAAAAATACTCAACTTACTGTAGAAGGCACTGTCCCATAAGGCAGACAGCTAAAAATACACGCTGTCGTCAACGTGTTAATCAGAGTCGCTGATTCTAAGTAGGAAACTCGCACGTCATGTAACGCATTTTCCATAAATCATGCCAGATATACCACAATTATCAATTTTTGCTATTAAATAAATCTGATTGGGCCATTTGAAAAGCTCTTCTGAAGAGCAAAAATCTGTGTACAATCAGCATGCGTGAAAACCTTCTTACCCGATTTTTGAGTTTTTTTTTAAATTTTTTCAAAGGTTTTTTTCACAGTGGCATCATACGCTGCAAGTTTCTACCGTACTCCCACATTAATGAAGATAAATCCTTAATTCGCTCCATGCTGTAAATTTAAATTGACCACTCTACAAAACGATATCTAGAGCTTCTCGAGGGACTTCATTGCAAGAAATTGACAAATAAGCAGTATCCTCTCTGGCACATCTTTTCGGAACATTACCGTGTATGTTGTATTTTTGTTAACTAGAAAATCATTATGCTCATAATGGAGCAGCCCGTTTACCATTTTTCGTATAGATGCATGAAGAAGCGAATGTTACTACTTAATGCTGCCACACTGCAATTTCAGCGTTTGAGAAGACACGTTTTTTACACGTTGAGCGTTGTGAATGATCTAAAAGGGAACGATGATCGGTCAAAGTGGCCATTTGGAATGAGCTGTATACGTATTAGGAAACCGTCCTCGGTAAGTCAAACTCAAAACTACTTTCGCTAGTTGCCGAGCGGTTTTGTGGGGGGAGTTACAAGGCCATTTTTTCCCGGCGCAGCCGGCGCACCCAGTAATGAGCGAGGCGCTAGAACGACACAGCAGTGTGGCAGTGGTGCGGTGGCAAGACAGCGGACTGCGAAGCAGATGGTTGAGGGTTCGAATTTGCTTCTACTTTGTTTTGCAGTTCTGTAGAAAATCTATTGGGTGACAGTAAACGAAAAATACTCATTTCTACGCAGTTGAAATAAGCTATTTACTGCAAAAAAAGCCACTATTGCAACAATAAGCTATAATCTTTTACAATATGTAAATCTGTGGAGGTTATGATGTCACAACAATGGATTTCAATGATGTATTAACACGTATGGAATACAACCACAAAATGCTCAAGCAGAAGAGTTCTCGCAGCGCGCACATCGTATGTATCAAAGTCGATGAAAAACAGTGCTGAATAGGAGACTCGCCGAGGTGGTCATCAATGTATCCGGCTGCATGGCATGGGTATGGGGGGAATCCATTGTTGTAACATCATAACCTCCACAGATTTACATATTGTAGAAGATTATAGCTTATTGTAGAAATGTGGCTTTTTTGCAGTAAGTAGCTTATTTCAACTGCGTAGAGATGAGTATTTTTCGTTTACCGTCACCCAATAGACTTTTTACAGAACTGCAAAACAAAATAACAGCAACAGGACTCGAACCCTCGACCATCTGCTTCTTAGCCCGCAGTCTTAACACTGCGCCACTGCCACACTGCCGTGTCGTTTTGGCGCCTCGCTCATTACTGGCGCCGGCTGCGCCGGAGAAAAATGGCCTTGTAACTCCCCCCACAAAACCGCTCGGCAACTAGCGAAAGTAGTTTTGAGTTTGACTTACCGAGGACGGTTTCCTAATATACAGCTCAATCCAAATGGCCACTTCGACCGATCATCCTTCCCTTGTAAGCATTGTTCTCTCGACCCTATTTTAATGTAAAAGTACTTTTCGTTCAAATGGCAAAGCAATAAATTACATTTATTAGCCTCTAGCGAAAGTTATCAAGGAAATAATATTTGCACCCATAACCACTCAAATCATTTTGGGTCAAAAAGTGACACTATGAGAATCTTCGCTTGGTTACTGTTAATACTTCACATTACGAGAGGACACAAGTATGATGCTTATGGTAAGCCTTGCTATGTTACAATTACGAAAACGTTCCGTGTATGCGATATTCAGATGCACACAACTGCGGTAAATCGCGAATAAGTACTGCACGAAGTTCAGTGAGAATGAGAGCCAGGTGAAAGGATTTCCTTGTTTTGTTTTTCCTCCTGCTCTTGACAATCGCTTTGAACTTTTGGTGATAGCGCAGCATAAAAACGCGGCAAGTTCTTTACAAAATGTTGCTCAGTCTTTCCGGATATTCCTAAAGAAGTTAGTACGTACTAAGATGGGTGTTTTAGCCACACACTGAAATTTGAAAACATAGATTGAGACTTTGCTATATGAATGGCGATATTCTGAAAATTTCCCTGACTTCAAGAAGTTTTTACAAGGGGAATCCGATTAGTCGAATGACCTTTCCAAATGAGTCTTATACCACTTTGGAGCATTCAAACGGTGATTCCGAATCTCAAGATCTGTCGAGTTCTGCATGCCGAGTCTTGAACACCTTTCTTGGTGCGAAAAGTGGACGCATAATCTAGGTAGGACAAAAGATATTGCTTGAAGGCAGCATTCAGGAAAATTTCGCTTTTCATGTTTTTGTCATTCCAGGGCCTTTCCGTGGCCCTGAACACAGTTATAAAGTTCAAAGTGTCCAAAATCCTCAAAAAACACCCAATCTCTAGGACCCTTTTGAAGACGCGAACGAGTTTCGGATTGTCATCTCGGCTCGCCAGCAGGAAGTAGCCACGATCGATCGATGCGTGAGCACACGTTTTCAGGGGGCGGTTTGCGATACATATCACAGACCCGTATGTCTTTTTTGAGGCCATGTTAAAGGATTGGACCAACGCGGGTTGAATACTCATGGGCCTCGCTTTATAACTATGTGCTAATAAGTGGGTGGGTTTGCTTGGACGCTGGCTTTGAATGGAGTAATGATAATCAACACTGGACCATTTTAGCAACTCTAACGAGTTTTGTTTCAATTATGCAATCAATTTTTTAAACTCAATTACGCTCATAATTCAACAACAGAGGCGCTCTGCAGATAACGAAGACAGACAGAATTGCAATCAGCACTCAATGCTCTATTCGTATCTGTTCCATGTGAAAAGGCCACTTCGAACCAAATGGACCTCTCCTGTCAGAAGCAATTTAACTCTAAAGCAGAAAAAATATTTAGCATTGCTAAGAGAATAAGAGAGTATGTGCACATTTTCAGCGACGTAACTCAATTTAATCTTGTGCCTCTTTATCAGCACTAGCATGCTCTGACCTGCGCTGCTATCTTTTTTGTGCCAGCACTGCATGCCTACTTTTTTATTCAAAATGCAAAGTGTGTACGATTCACGGATTACTGCTCGAGCCCTCTACATAGACTACCATACCCTACACCTACTCCATACTACTTTGAATACAGATCTCGTTCTGCGAAACAACCTCGATGAGCGTGATCAGCAGCCAAAAAGTTAACGCGATAAATGTGGCGGAACCTTCCATAACTTAGCTCAAGGCTAAAAGCGAAGGTATTAAGCGCTTTGCGCAAAGGATTCTTGCAGCGGAGCAGCAGAGAAGTGTATTCACAATAAGCATTACTATAGATTCGTCCTCTCCCCAAAGATGAAAGGTGAATACAAGCCTAAATATGATAGTTTTCATAACAGTTCTTTGACTGGAATGGCTACGTATGCAGGTAATTTTGGCCCATCCTATACAATATATTTTGGATCAGATCGAATGATTATTCGATTATTCGAATAAATCATTCGCATGCGATTGATTTGAAGATTAGAATATAAAAAATGAGATTTCGAATAATATTTGAAGAATATTAATAATTGAATATTCAATTATAGGTAATCGAATATTTCGAAAATTTTTATTTTCGAAAATTATTCAAAAATCGAATACTTGAAAATCTATACGTTCGAATATCATTTGATATTCGAATATCTAGAAAAAAATTTCGAATTTTCCTAATTATACTGTACAGAGGTAGCGGCCTGTACACGAATTTACCATTTTTATTAATCGCGCTTTGATGTTCAGTAAAGTGCGCATTGCCTTTGAAAGCTCCTATACTGTTCCGTCTTCATGCAAGTTATAGTTAAAATCGAATATTTTCTGAATATTTGTATTCGAATGACCATTCGAATTAAAAGAGATTTCCAAGGAAGTGCATTAACACATTGACGACCGCTTGACACACATGGTGTGTCAAGGTTTGACATAGCATGACTCTCATTGAAATGGCTATTAAAATGTGTCAAACCAACTCCAGGAGTTTTCTTTCATGCTGAATTTAGATACAACCTCTACTGTTTTTGCCAGCATTCCAGCGCTACTGTAAGTGCACTGTAGATGGAATTGTGCGTGATTTTATTTGAAAAATGTTGGCCGGTCCGAAAAAGGCTTTGGTCGTTTAGTGTTAATTTGATTATTCGTACAGTCGAGAAATGAAAAGAACCTTCATTGGATTATCTGTTTACTCTACGGATAGAAGAAACAACTTATTAGGTTGGTAAGAAAGTTCTCGGACATTTTCAGAAAAAATCTGCTATTTCTCGAAACCTAACGCATACATACATCAGATAGAGGTACCATTCGATAAAGCAAAGCAAGCTCTACAAGATGGTATGCAAAAGTTCGCACCGGCTTCGAAACACCGCAAGTTTACACCCAAAATCTCGTATTATTATATTATTTAGTATTTATGTGCCGTATTGAAATTCAAGAAATCGCGAAAAATTCATATCTTTGTTCAAACAAATTCTACGGATCTCCGACTTACTCACAAAAATTGAGGACCACATTAGACACTCATATGCACCGTTCCTGTAATTATCCCTCATATGGAAATCGAAAAAACGAAAATTTTCATGTTTGTATGAAAAAGAAGCCGTGCTGTTTCCACCGACGTAATTGAATAGTAAAAGCCCTTAAAGTATAACCGTAAATTTTCAGTTTTCCGTAAGCCCTAGTTGTCGAAAAATATTGATTTTAGCATGGAACGCCCGAGTGAGGAGCGCTCAATGCGGTAAATTTTGGGAACTAGGGCCTGTAAAAAGCTGAAAAATTACGGTTATACTTCTAAGGGGCTTGTACTTTTCAATTACATGGGTGGAAACAGCACAGCTTCGTTTTTATGCAAGCATGAAAATTTTTGTTTTTCGATTTCTAGACGAGGAAAAATTACAGGAATGGTGCATATGAGTATCTGATGTGGTCGGCACTTTTTATGAGCAAGTTGGAGATCCGTAGGATTTGTTTGAACAAAGATATGAATTTTTCGCGATTTTGAATTTCGGTACGACTCAAATTTTGGATGCAAACTTACGGTGGGTCGAAGCTGATGCGAATATTTGCATACCATCTTGTAGAGCTTGCTTTGCACTATCGAATGGTACCTCTATCTGATGTATATGCATTAGGTTTTGAGAAATAGCCTTTTCTGAAAATGTCCGAGAACTTTCTTACCAACCTGATATTTGAAATTCTATTCGAGTATTCAGACATTCGAATAAAATTTCGACTAAGTTGTTTTTTCTATTCGTCGAGTAAACACATACTCCATAAAGGTTCTTTTCATTTCTCGACTGTATGGATAATCAAATTAATGCACTTCTTTGAATATTTTACTTTCCTATTTCAAATAAATCAATAATATTCATATTTAAATATTCAAAAGAAGATTACAAAATATTAATGTGTCACAGCTACTCGATATCTGTGATTTTTAGTTACGAGTACGTGCGCCATCCACTATTGTTCCAATCACCCTCCATGCCTCGCCAAGCCGTTACCTAGTCAAGTCTTCCATGTCTGGTCACGTCGCCCACTTTGTCGAATCGCCATACCGCGTCAGTTCGCTTACTCCTCCCAAGTCGTGGTACCTCGTCAAGTCGCTCACTCTTGACCATGTCGTATATACCTCGTCAACTCGTCAAGTCGCCCACACCTCGCAAGCCTCCATACCTCGTTAAATCTTCAATTAAATCGTCTACGTAGCAAATGCATTTCGCTTCATTTTTGGATAATCAAATCAAAACATTGAGTCATTTTCTTAGCTATCTATTTTCGTTTGTTCACTGCCCTGACTTGAACACCCTGTCTCTAATGAATATACCAGCTTGCCTCATATGCCAGGGTACATGATTCCACCTATTGTCTTCCTATTACAGTCACACCTAAGTGCCCAGGTTACTTCCTCTTAGGCCTTACTTCTATGCCTTACTGGCAAGCCTCGCAGTGTCCGGGCAAGATTCACACACCCAGATTAACATATAGTTGTAAAGCGGGCACCATGAGCATCCGATCTGCGTTGGTCCTCGACGTCGCCTCTAAAAGGAGACACAGGTCTGTGATACTTATCACAAACCACCCCTGAGGACGTGTGCTCACGCATCGATCGATCATGGATTGCAACTGCAAACATGCAGTTGCAGCTCCTCCTCGGTGGCGAGCCGAGGAGATAAACAATCCGAAACTCGTCCGCCAACTCAAAACAGGGTCCCCAGGAATTGGGTTTCTAGAGGGTTTTGGACAATTTGAACTTTGAAAGTGTAACCAGGGCCACTGAAAGACCCTAGAACGACAAAAATATGAGGGGCAAAATTTTGCTCGGACGCTGCCTTTAACTAGCACTTCAACTTAGAGTCTTGCTATCCTCCAAAACGTATATTCATCTGGGGTCTGTCAGCTAGTTTTCGCCCGTAAGCTCGCTGGCACTCAAAAAGGGTTTTCAAAATAAATTTGGAGGATGCAAGACTCTCCAGTCATTCTTTATTTCTCAAGCGAATACACTCATCAGACATTTGGAACAGATTTCGCTATATCTTAGTGGGCCTTAGGTTAGTGCATTGCTTATACGTCCATCATATATCTCCCTGAAGCCATGGACAAGCTGATATCATGTTATTGTTCGACGTGCTAGAGTTTTATTTTCTTTTTTTGGTGCACCTTGAGTGTAAAATGAAAAAAAATAAAATAAAATAAAATCACTCTAATACGAATATTAGAGAAATATTCAGTTCTAAATATAAGTATATAACATCGCTTTTCAGACAAGCGATACTACTTCAGAATTAGTAGAAAAATTTAGCGACCTTTGAATAAATGCTGTTGGCCTCTCCTGCTTAGAACTGCTTTGAAAAACCTATCCTGTTAAATTGAGAATTGATCTTTTCCTTGACGTCTTAAAATGTCGACGTTGAACTTTAAATGGCAGGAAGGAGCAATAACGGGCAAGCCAGAATTGCCAGAAAAAAACAGAAAAAAATAGTCCACGTTGCAAAAATATCGGCTTTACGGATAATTTTCAAAACGTTATAGCCTGAAAAAAGCTCGAGATAACGTAATGCGAAGGCGACGAACGTTACAGTAGCAAATGAATATAAGCGGCGACAGTGTTTACATAATCAATTGGTCTATTGTTTTGTTTATAATACGTTTGTTGAGTAATTTTTTGACAAGGTTCTTCTAAAGTAATTCCGAGGAAAAAATTCTCGGAAGTGGATTTTTTGCTTTCGTTTTTTCTGTTTCAGAGCCAGAAATCTTTCCCTATTTTTTGCAAAGTCGGAGTGACACGAAGGAAATCAAAATTTAAACTTTCATATGAATACACCGACATTAGCAAAATCTAGGGAAAAAAACTACTATAAATGCTAAACATATATTACAACCTAATGATTTTCTTGAGCAAACTGATGCAGGTCCTATGATTATGATGGCAAGATATAAGTAAAAATGTAGTGAATAAAGCAAAGAAGGCTCTATAAGATCGAATTGTAACAGGAGACAGCTCTATGTACGCAAACTTTGGAAGCAAAACCATATTCGTAGCGTCCGAAAATCAGATCTTGTTTAGAAATATCCGGGAGAATTTCGACTCGGTCATTCATAAACTGTTTGAATTAACATTAAGTATCTAAACTTGTTGCACTTTTTCGGCGGCTAAAATCAAGAAATGAAAAGAGGCCAAAATACTAAAATTTCGCCTTTTTCGGTATTGCATGCTAAACTCTAATTTCTCATTTGCCTGCCAGATGATATACAACTACTTGTAAGAACTGCTCAATACTGTCTGGCAATAACTGCTAATGTTCCTGTCTTAATTTCCAACCATTAAAAGAATCCCCCTTTCAATCGGTTTTTTTCTTTGGATCAGCACAATATGTTTATGCCAGTCAAAGGAATAGACATAGAAGGCCAAAAGCAAACGGCTCTTCTTCAAAAAGCAAAATGCGCTGAAAAAACCTGTTAGGTTTTTTCCAAAAGTTCAATGTCATTCTGTATTAGAACGAGAAGAACCTAATGAAGTAATTTTCTGGCTACTAGAAAAGGTTTAGCAATTTGGTCTTTGCGAATTTGTCGGCAGATGCTATCAGTGTAATAATATGAAAAACTCATTAAATTACAAGTTTGAATCTTTTTGGAAGCGAAATGTCAGTTTTTGGCAAGGATACAATACCGCTCACATTAAAAAAAATTTTTTTTAAATAGACGCGAATGTACATACATGTCGCTACATGTATGGAAATCACTGTCGCGTGGCCTTATCTCGCTTAGAGTGGACGAATTCTAAATCCAAAGCCACCATTCGATTCAGCTCGGCGCGGAGAATTTCCTGATATATTGGAAATGGGGATACAATGTCTTCGACATTCGTTTCCAGTTTTTTCAAATTCTTCTGCGGAGATCCTTTCGCGAATATGTGAAGCAGCGCCTATCCAACATAGAAGACTTTACTAACAAGGGAAGTCACTTAACTTAGGTCATCATCTAGGTGATGGTTCAAATGCATAATACACCCTATCAAGGCCAAATGACTCATTTTGATGTTATCGACTTTCCACCAATTTTTCAGCAGATTCCGTCTACAAGCCTTTTTTCCACTTTCAGTTGTATGTCAATGACACATGCTAAAAAAGCTCATAACTCGCTTCAGGGGAACGCTTCGCAGCTGAGAGCAGCACATTTGGAATCAGCGTTCCGAGCCGATTCTAAATATATGTGTCTCATTTCAAAAGGCCGACCTAAGCTAAGTGAGTATAAGTACTATTCGATAATACTGTTCTTGTAGATTATTGTGCGCTTAGTTAGGCTCAGACTTCCTTTCAAGGGGATAGAAGCGTTGGTAAGTTCTGGAAAAACCACGCGTTTTCAAATTCTACTCGCCATAACTTCCTTCGGAATAAGTATATTTTGAATTTGAAAACACCGCCTTACTCAGCTCATTAAGGCGAATGCCTTAATGAGCCGAAGGCCCACTTGCTTTTTTAGGTCAAAATCACTAGAAATTGTGCTGTCGAATGGTGCATGACTCAAACTCTAGTCCGTAAAGTTCCCCGAGTTACGAGCTGACGAAAACACGTCCTCATGAATTTTGCCCAAAATGTAAAGATCGTAAAGTTCGTCGAAATTTCGCCCTGAGTGTTTGTATGACGTTCTGACTGCAAATATTAAGTTCGCTTCGCCCACGACTTCCACTGTATTGAGTATGGTGCTTGCGTGGGCTTCAGCTGCTCAATTGAATATCAAAGCTATTTCGTGGCTAAAGGTCAAAGCACCACTTCTAACACAATTAGATACATTAAAATGTGAAAAGATTTGATCAGCGTGTTGTACAAGCGCTCACGGTGGAACGACGAAATATGCGATCTTTACATTTTGAGCAAAATGAGGACGTGTTTTCGTAGGCTTATAACTCGGGAATCTTACAGACTGGAGCCTGAGTCATGCACCATTCGATAGCACAATTCCTAGTAACTTTGACTTTGAAAAAGCAAGCGGACAATTTTCTGACAGATACGCGTGCGGAAACTTACGCACTTTTGTGATGCACTTACAGTCACCTCACTGTATCTCTCCAAAAAGACCCTTTAATCCTCAAAGACCACGGTTTTCGTAAAGAGCGTGTTCAAAAACCTCTATAGGCGAAGTTTCCTTACAATTCAGGAGCATCAACATTTTGATCAAAATCCATCGGCGAGCTTCCAGAGCGTGGAACGAGAAAAAAATGAAGTAACCCGAAAATATCGGAAAACTTGGTCGTAGAGGTTATCCCTGCTGATTTTGAAACTCACATCGCTTAGCAAGATAGCTTCGTACCCTGGAACTATTGCGAGTAGAATTTGGGACGACAAGATTTTTTCACAATTCACCAGCCGCTCTATTTCCTTTGAAAAGAAATCTGCGGGCACTATTTAGCACATCATAATCACAGAAAAAGTACTATCGAAAGATTTTTGCTGGAATTTACTCGAAACAATGCTCGCTACTTTACACCTTCGCTAAAAGGCGTCCGCAGAAAGATTCAAGAATACTGAAATTGGAATATCAAGGACATGCTGTATATGGAAGATTCGCCTTGATGAGCTGAGAAAGGCGGGATCTTCGGATTCAAAATATACTATTTTCGAAGGAAGTTATGACGAGTAGAATTTAAAAACGCGGTTGGCTTTGGAATCAGAATTCGTCCACTCTGAAGCGAGATATGGCCACGCGACCGTGATGTCCATACATGTAGCGTCATGTGCAGCACTCATGCGACATGTCGCTACATGTCCATACATGTAGCGACATGTATGTACATCCGCGTCTATTTTTCTAAAAAATGTGAGCGGTATTGTATGAGAAAATAAAAAAACATTGTTTTTTCGGGCTGTCATTAGAAAAGTTCCGCCATATTCAGAAAATAGTGATCGTTTACCAAATTTTCTTAAATCATTGAAAAAGCACAAATGTTTTCAGTAATTGAAATTGCAGACAATCTTTCACTGCTGATGCTCACTCCAACGATGCAAACATTGGCGGCGATTCAACGAGTCAAGAGTTGGACGATAACGTCATTGACGATGAAGATGAGGACGATTTTATGCAAGAAAAGGTAAGGAAAAGATTAGCGTACATGTTTGACCGTGTTCTGCTACCTGATTGCCCGTCGCCCTTAAAGTTTCTATCTTGCGATGCTGTTAGACCTGTAACGATCTTTCTTTGAAGCTATGAAGAGTTAGTATGTTGAGACACCATATTCGCTACCTCAAGAGTGTGGTCCTACAAAGTGACAAAACACATCACAGAGCAAACTTAGCCTTTGGAATAGCTACTAGCTACTACCTATCTTCCGGAACTGTGAGCCACTTGCATTATTTCAAACGAAATTTGTGGACATATGCAGTCCCAAATGTCCCTACTGTTTGTGTCAATAGCTCTCTTGTCATGAAATCTTTCGAGAAGCTTTAGGTACCATTTTGTAGAGCGTTACCAGGGTCGAGCCTGGAGTGTTTCATGACACACCTGAGGGTCCGTATTGAAAGGTCAGGAAGAGGTGGGCTTGTCGAGATGATTTCAATGTTAACTATTGTTATAACATTATTTTCGTTAACAATTAATCAAAAAATTCATAAAAGCATAATAACATCGTTTTCGTAATTAACAATGTCAGGCCCATCATGCAAAATACCAGCACATTGATGTTTTAGTCCGCCATCGATACGTCAGTAAGCATAATAAAAGATTTATAAAAGCATAATAGCATCGTTTTCGTAATTAGCATGTCAAATAACCTCTGTGAGCCACGTTTCAGCAAATTTTGACGTTTCCAAATATTGGTACACTTAGGTGAGAGACGGTCGCTTGCAAACATGTTGCTTTTGCTTCAATTAAGTTGACTAAATCTTTTTGTACTTATTACAAACTACCACTTCTTTGTCAACTTTAGAAATCCTACTTCAAATACCTCCAAATACAGGAATTAAGAGCAAGTCAAAATCTCGTGCTTGCCTTCGATATTCCGGAATAGAGAAGACATCAGGCTCAAATTACTTGAGTGCGATTTACGAGGCTTGGACTATCGAGTATATACATTTTTGTCGCTTACCCTCGCGACTAACGTAATAACGAAGACTTAGCATGTTACCGTAACCCAATATTTTCGCAATATTTTTCATTTGCACAGGTATGAAAAAACGATTATATCTTTCCCGTAAAAAGTTAGTAGAATAAAATTCCTGGTGTATAAAGAAGAAGGTTAAGCAGTAGAAACGATATAAAAAACGCAAACATTTGAATGGACTCAAGATAAGTTAATGGAGTGTGACACAACTCCCAAAAGTTGGCACCCACATCTTTTCTGGGGTCGTGCCATATTCTCTCACTTATCTTCAAAGAGAACATTAAGGAACAAATATGAGTTCGATAGCCGAAGTCTCTTGTCCGAAATCTGTAGTTTTTTGAAGTGATTGGAGCTGAATTCGTCTTCTCTCAAACAATAGTTGCTGAAAGCAGAACCGCTGCGAGCTGAAAATGGGGCAAACGAAATTTTGACTGGCCATATTTCTATAGTTTGGTGGTCATTTGAAGCAGGATATGGTATAGGCGGGGATGGAGCAGTGCTTTGCATGGAGTGCAAAATGAAGTAGCTAAATCACTTTTGAAATAAATAATAGTTAATCATGTTTGAAAATGGTTACTTCATTTGAGTGGCTCAATATTGGGAACACTCAAAATTTGCTAAAGCTTGGCCCAGAGGGGTTACCTGACAAGATAATTACAAATATATTACTAGTTATGCTTGGTAGAGTGATTATGTCGTGCCTACTGGTAGGCAAACAAAAATGGGAACCCAGGGGGGACGCCGGCGGTCGTATGTCACACCTCTTGCTCGATCCTGGTTTCAACTTAGATTGTCAGCAAAGAGCGAATCCCAATCGCCTTTCACTAGTGTAAGACTACGATAGGAACTTCCGGCATGTGTCGTTACTGTTAAAATGCTGCAGTTACAATTAATTTTCAAAAAATCCGGAGACTTGAGTAATAGGTTTTGGGCGGCGAAGTCAGTACTCATTAACTACGTACAAGATTGTAAAGCTCCAAAAGGCTGTAACAACATTTTTTAGCAACATCGAAACAGCTGCTACTGCTTGCCTAGCATAACTTTTTGAAGAAGCATGAGATGCAAAACCCATATCTAGAATCAGCAACTCTAATTGGCCTAGTGAGGGTTTTTGGGCTTTGTTTCCTTTTTAATTTAAGCCAAAATGTGGTGTTTCATAACTCAAACTCCTCTGGATTCTACGTAAATCTACAGCAATAAAGCGAGATGGTTGCTCTGTATCTTAAATTTAAGTTAAAGCCAGCTATACAAAGCGGTACCCGAAGCTTCTTCAAAGACTTCATGACAAGAGAGTTATCAACAATCAAATAGTAGATACATTTTTTGAGAAATCCTGCACAATGGATACTTTGAAAATCAGATCTCTATTACGTAAACCTTCGCATTGTCGTCATATAGAAGACAGGCAGAAAGTTTTACGCATAGATTTAGGCTACATTTTTTCATTTGAATCTTCGCGGTCTTTGGTATGTTTAGGTTTGTCTGAAGCATTTCTATGCTAAAACTACAGTGCTGGCCATAATAATAAAGCCACTCTAGAAATTGTCGTAATTTTCGTTCTTGTCAATGAATCTGTCTAAATCTTTGCTGTGTCGTGCGCATGTCAACCTACCATGACTCCTCAAACGGCTTCCTGTCTGTTGAGTTTGAACGGAGAAAAATGAAAAAATTTGAAAGAACCTTTTATGAAAGCTGGACAAAATTGTAAAGCAAATGGTTTTTCTAATCACTATCGCATTCGTTGACTCTCAGATTTTTTTGTATTAGATTGTCCCATAAATCTTTTCATTTTTGAGTTATCGTTGTGATAAGTCGTGTACTTCTTATTTCGATCCTCCACAAGTTTAAAATTAAAATCTAAAAAGTCTCGGATGCCCGAAAAATCGAAAAATTTTTATATTTTCGTTCAAGAAAGTCCTACAAATCTCTCACTCGCTCACGCATGTACACTTCACATCAGGCACTCGTATGTGCTGTTGCCGTATCTTTTCATTCTAGAAATCAAGGAAACGAAAAATTTCATGTTTTTATCAAAGTGATGCTGTGCTGTTCTTACATTGACAGTTGTATACTACAAACCCTTAGAATTAAAACCGTAAATTTTCAGCTCTCTATAACCTCTAGTTCCCGAGAAATATCGAATTTAGCTTTCCTCATTCAGGCTTTTTACGCTTAACCTAGAATTTCTCGGTAACTAGAGCTCATAGAGATTCAAAAATTTACGGTTCTACTTCTAAAGGCTTGTAGTATACAACTGTTAGGTAAGAAAAGCAGCATCACTTTGATGAAAACATGGAAATTTTCGTTTTTTTTTGTCTGTTGTGAAGTGCATATGCGTGAGCGAGTGAGAGATTTGTAGCACTTCTTTGAACGAAGATATAAAAAATTTTCAATTTGGGCATCCGAAACTTTTAGATTTTGGTTTTAAATTTGAGGTAGATCGAAGCTGTTGCAAAAGCATAAACTTGTCTTATAGAGCTTGCTTTGCTCTATCGAATGGTATCCTGGTGCCTACTCTGAGTGAGAAGTGCACGACTTGTCATAGCGCAAACTCAAAAATGAAAAGACTTATGGGACAACCTAATATTTACATCCCAAATCATGAAACATTTGCAACACCTAAGGCCTGTCATTCCACTCAAATAGAAGCGACCACTGCATTTTTTGCTTTCAAAACCATCAAAGGTCAATCTATTTCAACAAACGCTGGTTAAAGGAGTTTTCAAGCTCTTGTTTGTCTCATATGGTAGTCATAAAATCTACTGATCTTGATAAATGAAGTGAAGGGCGCTTTCATAAGCTATATGCTAACGCATATGTCGCTGATATTGACGAACAAACTCCAACCCCACCATAGGATTATTTTAAGCAACAGAAAATACTTAAATGTAGCCATTACGACAGCCATACAACAGTAAACTCGTGTGTATAACTGGGAAAAAATTTCGGGATTGAGCACTCTCGTTCAGCCGCAGTTTACATCCATTGAATGTTGAGTGGAGCACCCTGCACAATCAAAGCCAAATCTGATCACGAGATAAAACCGGAGACGCTTAAAACTTCAAAATCTTAGCTAATCGCATTCATCGGGTAAAATATGACATGAAACACAGAAGAAAATAAGGAGTCGAGCGAAATATGACATAAAAAAGAGGAAAGGAGATCTAGGGCATATCGAATCTTCTGCTCGCAGGAAAATTTTCTGGAAAGTTTTTCAGCTTTAATCGCAACTGCATCACTGAGAAAATTAGAAGTTGTTGCAAAAGCCGCATCACCATGTAGGCAGTGTGATAAATCAAAAATCAAATCCAGCGCTTTACGAGTGCAAATAGAGTTTTGTGGAGTAAAAACGTAACAACCTTAGTCAATATCAGCGATTACGCAAATATGGAGGCGCCCCTTACCCTATCTATTGAAAATGCTCATTAGATTTTATTGCTATCATTTGAAATAAACAAGGGCTTGAAAACTTTTCAAACCAGTTTCTTGTTAGAGCAGATTGACTTTTGATGTTTTTGAAAGCAAAAAATGCAGTGGTCGTTTCTATTTGAGTAGAATGACAGGCTGCAAATGTTTCATGATTCAGGATGTGATTGCACAAAACTTGAGAGTCAACGAAAGCAAGACTAATTAGAAAAACCAGGTGGCTTTATGATCCTGTCCAGCTTTCATTAAGGGCTTTTTCAAATTTTTTCGTTTTTCTCCGTTCAAACTCAACAAGACTGGAAGCCGTTTTGAGGGGTCATGTTAGGTTGGCATGCGCACAATGCAGCAAAGTTTCAGACAGATTAATTGACAAGAACGAAAATGACGACGATTTCTAAAGTGGCTTTATAATTATGACCAGCACTGTAGGCGAAGCAATGATTTTACATATGTGATACTTTAGCTTCCGACAAGAAAATCTAACATGTGAAATATTTGAAAAAACAGATTTCCGATTTTCATGCCTTTTTCATGAAGGAAACAAGATAACATCACCACTGGGACGTGATGGAGAATTTCAATAGTTTCGAGATGAACATCCGATTTTCGCGAAGCTTGTGATTTATGAAATTGAGTAGAAATCTATAAGTCGCTGATAGCTTCTGTGCGTGCAATTGGCGCGGCTTTAATAGCGCCTGCTTGTTGCGAAGGTTCGCTCGAATTTCCTCTTTCAGACAACTTGACGTGCTTTACATCGTTCGTCATTAAAGTTTACGTGGCTCACGATATCAATCGTGTCTAACTACTTCTCGCGAGACTTGATCTGCTCCACTGCTCCACTCCGCTGTGCATTTTTTGTAACCACTCAGCGCGACAGCATAAAAAAACTTTTGCGCAGCCCTTTGCCTGAACTGTAGGGCTAGCCGACTGACAGAACTAATTAAAGTGCGTAACGCTCTGCGACATGAATTAGGACGGTGCAAAAATTTCGTCGTTTCATTTTCGAATTATCGTAACTTTCTCCTGTCTGAACAGATTTGCTTTGCTGTTCATTAGAAAGAAGAGACTTTCTGTTTTAGCGAGTTTTTTTTTCGATCACTCTTTCCGGTCATTTGAGCTTTCATCATCTTGAGTTAAGTCGCCAAAATCGAAAGATTTCAAAAAATTCCGGAATCTTCAGTACATAAACTTTACATAAATTTTACGACATACTCTTCCTAACTTTGAAAAGTTTGTGCTCATTGGACCCTCTATGAAAAGTTTTGATTTGTGACTTTGTTATAGAAAATGTCCGAATCAATGGTATCATTATTCTCAATAATCATAACCTTTCACTTTACGCCCGATCCACAAACTCTGCATAGTTGCAAAAAGTAGATAAAAAAGCAGGTTCTAAAACTTGAGCGTTGACAATTTCGAACTTCACTGCAAAATGTCGCTGGTTTTTTGACGACTTAACCCAAAATGGTCGCAGCTTGAATGATCTTATTTATCCAACCAGTGCGTCACCTCTGCTTCGCAGAGGCTCGCACTGGTCCAACTATTCATATGCCTTACTCATTCTTGCCTAATGATGGCTTCGAAACTCACCTCGCAATGCCGACTATCATGAATAAAATGTAAACAGCCACACATTCCAAACGCCTTTTCAAAGTGAGATCGGTGATTTTGCGTGGATGGAACTTTCCACAGAGGAACAAATGCAAATTACAATAAGTTTTCGAACTCTTTTGGCTTAATAGTCGCCATAAAGGCAGTGACCGGGAAGATGAGGGGTTTGAGGTTTTAGTGCCATGCGAAAGTGGCCCTCCTCGGACACAACATCGCGCAAGTGCGAAACCTTAAACTCGACGTAAAGCAAGAAAAACAACCCGAAAGTGGGGAAACTTACGCCTTGGGTGGGATCCTCCGAGCTGTCCGAATTGCTGCTATGCGGCGTACGCATGTTGCCACAGTTAAGATGTAGGGTCCCGCAGCGACTCTGCGTCTCTGCTCCCGCAGCGACTCTGCGTCTCTGCCTTCGTGGACCGTCAAATTTCAAATAGTGCGGCTTTGGAAAACGTATGTTCTCGAAGTTTTCGCGCCTTCTAATGTGGATTTTTGGATTCGCGGATAACCCCCGGTAAGTGGGTTTCCTAGAAATCGAGTTTTTGCCGGAGCACTGCCTTCAAGGACAATAATTAAAGTGAGTTACATTTCAAAAATGCAACAATATTCTAAAAATGCTCAAGTAAAACTTTGGCAAATTGACCATTTAAGCAACTAACCTTTTTGACGCAGTTTCCATGAAGTGATAGACTTTGCTCATTCTTTGGTCTGAAGTCCATGGCTTGCAACATGTCGAACACATCCATGTCTTTGCAAAAAGTGTTGATATGCCCAGTTTTGCGGTCCAGAAGAAAAGTGGATCCGTTTGACGCGCAAAAACTGAGGGATTCACCCAACCAATCCGCTCGTGCTTTTGCATAGTGAAGTTTTACGCTGGTAGCATGCGCTTTGCAAAATTTAGGCTGAGGACGTTGGCTGGAAATCCATGAATTTCGTTACACACACACACACACACACACACACACACACACACACACACACACACACACACACACACACACACACACACACACACACACACACACACACACACACACACACACACACACACACACACACACACACACACACACACACACACACACACACACACACACACACACACACACACACACACACACACACACACAGCCTTAGCGCATTATTATAAGTTATCTAATTTTTTTCGAAACCAGTGTATTCGGAAGGAACTCACTATGGCAGTACTAATAAGTAGAACTCTTTTTTTATTGTAATAAAGTTGGAGCAAAGCAAATTGTCTGGACAGAAAGAGCTTATGATTTTTTGAAAACGAAACAACGGAACTTTTGCACCGTCCTACATTATCCTTCTGGTTTTTCCTTTTCTGCTCATTCTGGTCCTCTCTATTGCCAACGCTCATTCTAAGCACGATCTTCTTTACCTATTGTGATACACACAGATAATGGGAGGTAGACGAGCTGAAAGAGATGAACTTCCATGGGCAATATTCCTTTACACTCGGAAATATGATTATACTGGTGAGCTGTTTCAACGTCTCAAGAGTACGTATGTACTAATCGAATTTGCAGAATTCACTCTGGCGAGTGTTACCTTGAACTTGTCGTTCAGTAGTCAGGTTGAAGCATGCGAGAAAAATTATTTGATCACTTAATTTATTGACATCGGTACAATCTATGAGAGTAAATTTTTTAAAGCCTAGAGCATACCTCTCGGGATTTCGCGAAATCGCCACATCCACGCGATTTGGCGGTTTGCCAGATGTGTATAGATTAACCATGCGTGGATCTCACATGCATGGACGCATGGATTCCGTAAGTCGTAGTAAATACACCAAGTCTGGCACAAGCAAAGTACGTTTACGACCAGTTATGAAGAGTCGTTGCAGTGCTGGATCGCGCAGCGACTAAAATCGCGTTAGGTATTCCTTAGGCTTAAAGGGCACTATGCGCCGATAGTTTGCGTCCCCACGGATTACGAACATGCCTTAGGGTGCGTTCTTACTAATTCGCAAGTTCGGGAACAGTTCCAGCACAGCACGTAGTTCGAGCGCTGTGCTGGAACTGTTTCCGAACTTCGAGATCAGTATCAACGCAGCCTAATGCGCACGGCTTGTGATGGATGTCCGCGCAGACCTTCATCGACGACACAATGTGCCTCTACCCATACGCTTACAACATTTGAAAGTGATAGCTTTGAATCAAATGAACGCATTGCATACACCGTCGAATACTTCTTAATTCTGTGCACATGTGAATTCCCTGCAAGAAGATTAGATTGACAGAGTGAAGTTATTTAATATGGTTGAATAAAGTACAACTTTTTGAATTTCTACTCAAAACAAACAATAGCAGCACACTTTTGCATGCAGGAGTATGCGGTGGAACGCTGATTTCAAGACGACATGTTATCACTGCAGCTCATTGTTTCCGCGCAAGGAAGAACAAAGACCTATGCGGTAGATTAGAATCGTGACTTCAACCACTTTTTCCGCATTTTTTTGTAGCACCTCAGACATGCTCCCACCAGACTTTGTGTTGAACAAAACGAAAGTCTTTACCGGTGGAATTTGCAGTCCGGCACGCAGATTTGGTTGTACTAGGTCAGATATTGGTAGAGTTTACAAAATTGCCCGGTACGTCGTTTATTACAGTGCTAAAATCATTTTTATGCAAATATGTCATTATAGCGCATTTTACGAGGATTACTTCAAATTTGGTTGCAACTCTCACGACATAGCGATTCTTGAGTTGGCTGAGAACGTCCCAAAGGCAATAAATCATGTTTGCCTACCTTTTATGCACAAAGTGGAGGAAATAGAAGACCCTTACCTGAAGCTAAGAGTATTTGGATGGGGAAATGATCGTGTGAGCCTTTCTGAAAATGGACAGAGGTTTCAATAGTATCATTATTTCAGCATTAAACCATAAAAACGACCTTTCACCTTACTTGCAAATAACGGAATTAGGTGAGAATGTCGGATTTATCTACCGCACCAATCGACAAAGATTTTTGTTGAAGGTGCAAAGCTATCGGAGTTAGTGTGCAAGAAAACGAATACTTTTGGAGCAGAAGATATATTTTGCGTCAAGTCCGGTCAGCGGCAATGGTGCAGAGTGAGTTTTTTACGACATACGCAAAATGTTGTGATACAATTCTTTGCCGCTTTACTCTGAAATCTCAAGGTGACTATTGTTACAAACTGCACGGAATTCTCCTTACATATTACTCTTCAAATGAAAGGCGCGTACTGCATTTATTTTGTTCACAAATGCTAGCTCCTTTTATATAGACGGTAATTTTGGCGCATTATATCTCCCTCACGGCATGCTGCACCGGGTTGCGTCGGAATAGCTGAGGCAATTTTCGCAGCATTTGCTCGATTTATCAGGTTGATAAGTTTTGTCAGTTTTATTAGGTTGGAAACTAAGTTTTGCAACTCATTCAATAACTTCCCTCTCACTCAACATGGCGCACTCAAATTTTGCCACTGCGTTGGTTATTATGTAGGCTACAAGCGCAGCTGCTGTCCTACCAAATTCTGACTTGGCAGTGAGGGTTATGGTAGGTGCATGGTACGAAGAGGAAAAATTCAAAGTTTGACGGATTTGGCTGAAACTTAGCATAGGGGTGTTTTCCGACATGCTGATCACGAAAACGATAGTGAAATTGCGTGATAAGGGCTTTTTTGTAGGATTACTGTAGGTGTACGATGTGTGTCTCACCCTAAACAAGGAAAAAGGCGTTGATCTAACAAATGAATGTGATATTCGCGTTTGGCAGGTCAAATAACCTTACTATGTAAAGCCTCGGCGGAATTTGAGCTTCGGACTCTTTAGTCATTGACAGTCGTCCCCAGCAGCTCTTGCGTACATCGACTCGTTCGACTTTGACGCCAAATCTCGACATGCCCCTAAATTTTGTTTCTTTCTTACTAGGCCAAAGGAGTTAACCTCCAGCAATAATGAATAGACGATTTCGGATTACTGCGCATGGTCTAGGCTGCCAAAGACTTCATTTTAGCTTGAAATCCCAAAAATTCTCAAATTTCAAACTTTCCTATTTCGTGTTCAAAATTTAGACAATTTCTGCTCACTTGTACCTCACATTGCTTTCTACAGAATGACAATGTTTGAGTGCGCCATATCCAAAGAGAGTGAAGTTATGAAACCGGTTGCAAAACTTAGTTTCCAGCCTAATAACTTCTAACTGCAATAAGTCACACACTTCTTACTCTTAAATAGGTTTCAAACTGCCATTTTATAGAGAAAAAGATTCAACCGACCGAAAAATTGAGAAAAATCCTAGCTCCGTCTAGAAAGATCCTGCCAATTCTAACTCGCTCACTCAAACACCTCCTATATGAAAAACACATTTAAGTAGTTGTATACCATAAGCCCGTAGCAAACGCCTCTAACAACCCGTAGAATCCCATAACATTTTCCTCGATTTATCGGACTACTGATTTCTAGATATTACCTTCAAACTTAGGATGAAGCAAAACTGGTGCGAAAGTAAGAACGACATCACGTAAAGCTTGCTTTGCCTTAACAAATAGTCCTTTCAACCCTGCTTAGGAGTTAAAAGTGTAGGACTTTTTGCGGTTAAACGTCAAAACGGACAGAACTTATGGGACAACCTGAAAGTAATGGTGTACATCCAAACGATATAATTAGCTTCGATATCGTATGACTCGATAGAGTTTTAACAAATGCTATTCCTGTCTTGTTAATGAAATGCAAACAATTTGTGGCCATTTGTAGCTCACATTGCATCCAAATAACCAAAGCCGCGGACACCGTACCAAGAAAAGGTTACAAAAAACTTGCGCTGCTTTCAATCTAATTCACAATGGGCAATGTCAACGTAAGAAGTCATAGAACTTTTTAAATAAGTTTCAGGGTATAAGTTCAAAAAGCAAAGTGAGTTTTAAAAGATGTTCTCAAACATTTCTTTCTTCAAGGCGAACTTTGAAGCCAAAAAAGATAATAGAATAATCTGCAAAATCGAAAAATAAATCGGGCTCCGTTCAAACACGGGTCCCTATGTGCTGATTATACGCTCCGCAACAGATCATATAAACCATTGTTATACCTTCTCCTAAACCAAAAATGAAACTTTCAAGCTTTCACCAAATCAATGCTGAGCTTTCCACACTGACGGATAACCACATACTTTTAAAATCATTAAAATCAGAACGTTATTCCACGAGAATTAATCTTTTAGAAACATCAGATTTGGTTGTGAAAATTTGGATAAGAGCTAAGCTTGCACAAAGCTTGCACTTATTCAAATTTTCTCATATGTTAATGTCACAATGAAGTGTGACTGAAATAATCGATGGACATAAAAAAACTTTTGTAATGTAAATAGACTACCATTACAAAATAACAATAATGTACCACTGATAAATTGCCTACCTAAACTATATAAAATTCCAATCAAGTTAGATTCATTATTGGTGCTACACCCAGTAGCATCAAACCGTCAGCAATTTTCACATTTATAAAATATCATTTTAAAAGTTATCTAAATAGTATTGGAGCCAGAAATCATTTTCCATAGGATATTGTTCAATAGACGATATTAAAATTGCTGATAAAAACTATTTCAGCTAACAAGGGAGGTCACGCAGGGAAGTTGCCGAACTCTACAAGCTGCATGCCATTAGTGAGAAGTCGGAACGCTGATTCAAAATCTGCTTTTGTTATCTGCAGAGCGTTTTTGGAAACAAAAACTTATGAGCATTCTTTAGGGCGAGAAAATGAAGTAATGGACGGGATAGTATCGATCATTACAACCTCTCTAGATCTTGAATCTCTAGAAGCGACAACTGTTAGGCTATTTTATACAATAAACTCCTTCTGCCTAGTAAGTCGACCCTATTTCGCCATTCAGCGTCTAGAAAGGTATAATCCGTTACTACAGCCTTTCTAGACGCTAGTGGCGAAATAGGATCAACTGATTTAATAGGCGGAAGGGTTTTATTGTATGAAGTGCCCTGACAGTTAACGTTTCTAAAGATTCAAGATCCAGAAAAGTTGTAATGATTAATACTATCCCAGGCCATTAGTTCATTTTCTCGCCCTAAAAATGCCCCTAACTCTTTTCTCAGAGAAGCTCTGCAAATAAGAAAAAAACCAGATTTGGAATCAGCGTTCCAAGCTCTCACTAATGGCATGCAGCTTGTAAAGTTCGGCCATTTCCAATTCGGCTTTGCAGATATGCAAGACAGATTTGGATTCAGCGCTCCATCATCTGTGCAGGAGCAGTATATAGAAAGCGTCTATGCTCAGTAACTTCAATAAAGTTGAGTGCAGACATTTGCAAAAGCACTTCATTGCTTTATTCTCCTCTCTACGACTTGAATTTATTCTGGAAAACTAACAGTTTGCAATATACTAAGAAATTTTGAAGTACTAAAAGTAACTACTTACTCTCCCAAACTTAGGGGATTAACGTAACTTGTAAGCAATACGAAGTTAAATTTCCTTAGTATTACCTATTTCTATCAAAAGTAAATCTCAGAAAATGTGACGCTTCTATGGTAAAACGGAGCAGAATTTCTCTTACGTAATTCTCGCGTAATACAGTGCACACGTGAGTCCTTGTCGTACAAGGGCCTTGTCATAAAAAAACTCCATCTGCTTCCCTCATTCATCCATTTAGAAATGATACTCTCTGACTAATGTCTAGATCAATTTGCAAAGAAAAAGCAAGAAGCCCTCCCAAATTATCTTTTGAAAACAAAAGGTAATTTTGACGGAGAGGACTTTTTAGCTTGAAGGTAATCAAATTTCAAAAAAGTACTGCGCGTATGAGCGCTTGAGAGTTGTACTGCCGGTGCCAATTGATATGAGCTGCATTTCTGTGCAATAATCTTCTCAAATTGTTGAGTGGAACCTCGTAGAATTGCCGATCTAATCAATTATCTTTTTCGGCGTCGTTCGTATATAAAAACACTTTCTTGAGCTACTTTCGAGTCACATCTCATGGTTTGCACATATGCATGTCAAGCAGTCCCACAACCCCACAATGGTCGGCCGCCTCAACGTGGCTTGGGGGTGACACTGGGTGTTGAACTGCGATACACAACCGAGTGTATACTCTGACAGGCCACCCAAGCGAAGAAGTTCAACGTTTCCGGTTTCGGCCGGATGCCTAACTAAAAGCCGGCCAGGCCAGATCCCACCACCATCTGGTTTTGTGGTCACTAGGCGGCTCTGCTCCCCGCTCCAAGATTGGGGTCAGCGATCGCCCCGTGGAAATCAAGAGTAGGCCTGGTAAGTCTGCTCTTGTAAGGGACTACTTTCAATACATGCTCAACTGATGCCGCCTACGGCATCCGGATAGTAGCAAGAACGATGTCAGGGTAGTCAGGGCGCCTTTCGGATCGGACAAAAACGACACGTCTGCCCGGACGACACGCGCGGAGACTGCCTCTGCTCCGCCCTACAACGCCAGGACAGTCTCCACAAACGCTGACTTCCACGCTCTTCTCAACGCTGCAGAGCACATCAACTACCACATCATCGCTCTGCAGGAAACGAAGTCCAGGAAGAAGGACGTGCGACAGATGAGTGATGGGACCCTCATCATTCGTGGTGAAAAGGTTCCATCACGAAACGTGGAGGCGTCGGCTTTGTCGCCCACCCATCTATGTCCATCTTGTCGATTCGTATGAGTTCCTATCACCTCGACTAGCCATCCTGCGACTGCGTCCTCCACGTCAGAAGACTCAGCATCACCAACTGCTACTCACTCACCTTGCAGCTGAGAATGAGATGCTTTCTACGAAAACCTGGAGCAGGCGATCGCAACAAGAAGTCCTTCTACAAATTCGTTGTGGGCGACTTCAACGCAAAGGTCGGGATGCCACTAGAAAAGGGATATAGTATCGGGAAGTTTGGATATGGGCTCCGGCCCAACGAAACTATTCACACGGAGATCGACACATTCTCATCAACCGAAGGTGCAGCTTGCTTGATGTCTCAGTAGTTCCATCCTTCTGCAGTGGCTCCGATCGCCGCCTCCTTCGAGCGAAGGTACGATTTAGCCGAAAGCTGGAAAAGAAGGTCTGCTACAATGCCGCAAAAAGGAAAGAAGTCGTTTATGG